GGCATATTTCCCAAGTTACTGGCACTGATGCCAGTTTCCCATATTTTTAGTTCCATTGGTCATTTCTAGAGAATTTTGGAAGGAGGAGACTAGCAAAATGAGTCCTTACTATCATCTTGCCTAGAAGTTTTCCTTTGTGTTTAAGCTGATTTCTGTTGGTGTGAGGAAATAAATTGATTTCCAAACACTTCTTAGTTCTTCTAGTTCTACTGTATTTTCGAAAAAAGCAAATGAATCTTCCATTATTAGCACTATTTTCTCTCCTTCATAAATCTCTTCCGTTCATTAGTGCTTCGTTGCCTCGAGCAAACCATGGATAATTACTAGTGGTGATGGTGGCTTAATAAGAATGCCTCGCTCCTTCCTCCAGAACGTACATGTAAACTTTTTGTTTAAGATAAAAGTAGTTATCTTGTTAAGGAGATGTCCCTTTATTTCCTTTATTTCTGCCTCTTAGAGTTTGTTGCTGTTTTTAAGTTTGAGATAGCTGTTTAATTTCATCAAATAATACTTTCAGTATTTATTAAAATGATATGCTTTTATTTTTGTTTCCCTGACCTCATGATGGACATGATGGCTAGAGACTTTCTGGAACTCCACTTGGGAATGGAGGCTAACCAGCAGTTTATTTCATGTTCAAATTAGTGGCCAAAGGAAGAACCATGCAATAAAGAACATTAGGATTTTCAATGTTCATTTGGGGGGGGGGGATTAAATTTGAATCTTTTCTTACAACCATATAAAAATTCTAAGTGGATTTGAAAAAACTTTTAAAGTATTTGAAGAAAATATTGGAAAATATTTTTATAGTTTTGGCATGAGGAATCATAAACAAGTTGTAAAACCTACAAGTCGGAAAGCAAAACCTGAAAGAAAATATTGAGAATTTGACTACCTAAATATGTAAATCTTCTGTGTGATGAAAGTCACCACGAAGAAAAATACAATGGGATAATGGAAGAAAACATTGCCAATACCTATAACAAATATTGAATTAATAATCGGAATATGTAAAGAAAACAGGGGGCTAAAAAAAGTATTTGAATTGGCAAATAAAGCTCAACTTCACTCATAGTAAATAGCACATAAATAAAAACAACAAGGTAACATTTTTATCATCAAATTGACTATATTTTAAAACACTTATATCCAGTGTTGGAGAATGTACAAAGCTACTAGATACAGAACTTCAAGTCTCTCCCCTACTTAAGCTATTTTATGTAAATAGCGCCCCCTGCAGCACAACTCCAACACAGAACAGGATTAATAGGGGAAGCCCCAGAGGAACTCGGTGCCAGGTCCTACCAATGGGTTTAGTAAGAGTTTTTGGCATATCCAACAAAATATAAAATGCCCTCTGGCTCAAAAATTTCTCTTCCAGGAATCTAGCTTTTCACAAATAATAAGTATGTAATACGTATATAAAGATATATGCAAAAGGATGTTCACTGAAGCATACTTTACACTGGGGGTGGGGGGAGAAATAAACTACATGTACATCAATAGGGGGTTGTCTGGAAAAATTATGGTGCAACCATTCACAAGGTATTTTGCAACTCTTCAAAGGAATGAAGTAGATTTATGTGTACTAATGTTAGCGTAGGTAGCTAGATATTAATAAAGGAAGAGGGCAAAGGGAATTAGACATTATTAAGCAAATCAACTAGGGAACATAAACCTGCTTTGCTAGGAAATTACAGCTTCAGAAACCCCAAGGGACTGTAGCATTGCCCTGCAAAGTGGATTAACACCTTCCCGTGGCCATGCTGGGAGGAAGGACCAGTTTTCCAATCTCTCAAGGGTGCAAATTCATTCATGGGGGGGAAGGAGGAGGTAGCAGGAATAAAACAATAAAGGGGAAATTCCTCTGCTGGGCACATGCCCAGTAGAAGCCAAGATGGTGCAGAGGGATATCTCTATTATGAGGCATGCACAGTAGGAGGCAAGATGGTGACCATAAGGGGTGGAGCCTAGCTTGGAAAAAGGATTGAATAGGATAAGGGACACAAAACCCCAGAAAATCTAGGAAATGGATTTGTTAGAGGAAAAGACCCAATGCTAGCCCATGAAGTATTGGGAAATTGATTGGTTAGTTTGAAAGGGTTCCTGGTCCTTCCCAAACCCGAGATAATATGATCCAAACTTAACAAAGATTTCTCCCTCTCCCTCTCTCCCTCCTTCTCTCTGTCTCTCTCTCCCTCCTCCCTCTCTCCCTCCTTCTCTCGCTTGCTCCATGCACTCACACATTCTCTCTCCACAGCAGCTACACAGACTTCAAGTGCAGGCTCCAAGCATGAGCCTAGGTACAGGAATGCGACACCAGCCAGAGTGCACCCGGAACACACACTAACTAGCCGGACAAGGACAGAGGCTAAACTGGACTAAACGTCAGTGTAGCATAAAATGTCTGGACATTGGCCCTATTTCTGGGCCTGCAGAAGACAAAGCTGAAATTCTTTCACAGTGGATTGGAATGGAGCTGAACCCAGGACAGTCCTTTGATTTTGCTTCTACAATACATCTTACCACTACACCTTATCCTCCCATATGTGGGTCTCTGGAATGCTTTCCTCGTGACTTTAAAAGGACTCCATTTCCACCGGAAACACTAATGTAGAATGATCTTCCAGATTTGATGGTATGAGTGAGATAAACAAGGATGTGAAAGCAAGTTCCAAAGATATCTTTTTTTCAATCCCAGGTATATGTTTATGTCTGTTTAATATCTTAGATAGCTAGGGAATGCACAAAGAACTGGAAGAGGTCAACAAGCTGAAGAGACTGGATTAGATTCACTGTGTAGGGGGAATTAGTGACAGGAAGGAGTTTCACACTTTCCTCTGTCTGCTTCCTTACTTTGTGACTCTACCACAACAGGAAAGTATTTTATGTGTGTTGTTTTTATTGCAAATTCAAAGTATTAGGTAGCACACTGGTTCTGAGCTGCATGAATCCCTGTCAGTTTGGCTGTTCTTTGACAACTTCCCACCTGACTAACTTGCCCAGGAATGTCCTACTACCAAGTGTGAGAAATTATTGGCATTCTTAAAATAAATTCTTCTGAGTCAGCTCCTCTGGGCATCCTAACCCTCACCAGGGCATCTTAAGAATTAGATCCCAGTCTCTGTCCCAGATCTACTGATTCAGAACTGGAATTCCTGTGCCTAACCGCTGTTGTGTGGAGGAGGAAGTAAGAAGTGAGGATTACTGGTCAGTGTGCTGACTGTACTGGACAACTGCAGAGACAGAGAGGCAGCCTTGATATGCAAGAACTCTGGTTAACCCTGATGGGGCTTTTGCTGCAAAAATACATTCTCCTGGGCTTGGTGGTGAAGGCTCTCCACTGAAACCAGGCTACACACTCAAGGCTCTACAGCACAGATGTTAGGGCTGCTCAGTTTTTGCTTTTGTTTTTACTAAAACATAACTGTTTTGGCACTTGGATATGGGTTTGCCTACTGTATTCTAAATTAGAGGGAAGTGGATTTGAAGTTGACTGAAAAACCCACCCAGCTCTTAACTCTGGGCTTGCTCATAATGAAGAAAGACAAAACAGCTCTGAGAAGCACAGTGTATATTATTATTTAAGGCAGCAATTCTCAACCGGTGTGCAGCAAGAACTTTTAAAACATGCAATACCTGACTATTTAGTCAGAGTCACTAACATCAGTTTCCTTAGATTGTCAAATTAAAAAAAATGACAATAGCCAACACAACAATAGCCATCCAGTATGAATGAATCAAAATTATACCAATTTTTTTGTTACATAGGCAAAAAATATAGTATACTTTTTGGTGTGTTGCAGAATTTTAGTGATTGGTTTACGTGTCCCATAAGAAGAATAAGGTTGAAAATCGCTGATCTAACAGCTGGCCTGCAGAGGCAGCAGAACTGGATTCAAATCCTGACTCCACAGTATGCCAGCTGGGTGGCTGTCAGCAAGGTTCTTAACATTTCAGAGTCTCAGTTTCTTGATCTGAAAAATGAAGATAAGGATGTGCCCCTCACAGAGTTGCAGTGTAGATCAGAGACAGGGTGTATGTAGAGGTAAATCAAAGATTAGTTATTGTTTACTAATAATACGGTGGTAACTAGACTGTAAACTCCTTGAGGGCAGACATATGTGAATAAGAATTGTTTCATTTCCTCCCTCCACCAGTCTACCTAACACTCCTAGAACAAAGCCGAACACCTTGATTCTGATTCTCTTAGGGATCGAGGCCTTTCATTGCCTTGAACCTGTTTTACAAGTCTGTAAGCCATAGACAGGAATGCAAAAAAAAATGCTTGTCTATATGTATGCAAATTATTCCTGTTATAGGTTCAGTTCATTCTCCCTCAGGGTGTGGAAGAAGCCAGTTTTATCTCTATTTGCACATTCGTGTCTATATTCCGGATGTGACAGTCCTTTGATCTGGTTGTCACCTCTTACTGATTCCCTTATTAACCATGAGTTAAATCAAATCTTCAACACATGCTCATTTTACAGTTGTCACGGTTTTACTGTTATTTGAAAAGTATCTTCTAATGTTACTATTTACTCCTTTAGCAGAACAGTACGTTTCCATAGAGGGCAGACACCTCTTAGGGCCAGACACTGTCTCATATAGTAAGAGCGAATAACTTACTCGTCTGGGGACAGAGACGAGCTTCCACACTCTGTGCAGTCAAGGGCTTACATCCTGTGCCATAGCTGTAGGTCACACCGAGGAAGGCGGCACTGCTCTCCAAGCTTCAGTTGGCCGGCTGGTCTGTAAAATGGGCTCATAACGAATGTCCGGGACCGGGAGCGGTCGCCAGGAGCCCACTCCCATACCCTTACCCCCTCGTCCTCCTCCCTCTCCTCTGCCGGGCCCCCAGGAGGCGAAGCGGACTCCGGGGTGGCCCCTTGCCCAGCAGGCACCAAGGCTGGCGCGTCCGCCCTCCGCCCGCCGGGTCTCTGGGCTCCGCAGGGCCCGTAGGGTGCAGAGGGGCCTCTGAAGGGGGCGGGTTCGCTTGAGCCAGAAAGCCCGGAGCCGCCCAGGAATTTTGGCCGGGACTGAGAGCATTTCCTCCCGGGCGGGCCGGCGCGATCTCGGTGAGGGCTGTGACGGGCAGACGGCACCATGCGGACCCTGCTCTGCGCGCTGGCCGGGATCGCTCTGCTCCGCGCCCCGGGCACGGACGTCGGTGAGTGGGGCCTGGACGGGCAGGGGCTCCAAAGAGACGCGCACGGAGAGGTAGGGAAGAGTGAGAGCTATGGAGGAGGGAGGGACATGGAAACAGAGCCGGATGGAGAGAGATGGAGAAACAGAAGAAGATGGTGAGAGATAAGAGAGAGAAAGATCGGAAAAGGCAAAGAAATAAAGGCAGGAGACAGCCTATTTGAGAGAGGACAGAGGGAAGAATAGAGAGAGAAAGATAGAGGCTGAGACAGCCTCTTTGGAGAGAAACAGATGGGTGTGAACTGTGAGCTATGAACTGGGATAGAAGGAAAAAGGAGTTTGAGAGGTAAAGGGAACAAGAGGGAAAGAAACAGAGGAATTAACATGATAAGAGAAATGGGGGCGGGAAGAGAATGCAGCAGAAAAGACAAAGATTTGAGAGACCAAAAAGGAAGAGAGATTGTGGAGAAACCCCACGACTGAAGGAGAGAGAGAGGAGGAGACAAGTATAACAGTGTGGGAGGTCACGTCTGAAGGAGGGGCAGCCCTTGAACCCTCCCCTGCTCTCTCCAGAGGGTCCAGAGGCTCCCAGGCCTGGTCTTATTGGGCCTTGGAAACTGAGCTTCAACAGGCAGGTGACCCAGGCCTGGCCCAGCACAACCAGTCAGGGACAGGCAGGCAGGCCCAGAAGAAAGGAGAAAGGTCCCTGTTTCACTTGTCAGGTGTCCTGAAGAGTCTCCACAGGTGGGTTGAGGAGAGCAGTCTCCAGGCTGTCAGAGAGGTCTCTGAGAGCCTGAGCTGCCTTGAGGGGAGGAGGAAGGGGTACAGGAGGGAGAAGCCCTCTGGGTGCCATGCTGGCTGGGCTCTCTGCCTTGCACTATCCTCTCTACAATCCCCCAAAAGCAGTCTTAAGTGCTGCCCCTTCACCTGTCAGGTGCCTCAGGTCAGGTGCCTGCAGGTATCTTTATTTTCTGTACACACAGATGCTCCTTCCTTGCCCCTCATCCCCACCAAGACTCTGCATACTGCACAATGTTACAGTTTACAAGCCTTGTTCTCACATACTCAATGTCTCACAAAGGCCTCAGCAGGAGGCAGCTGGTGCTCATCCCAATTGTCCAGGTGAGGGGAAAGCTCAGGTCTCATGGTAGTGCCAAGGCAGAGCCCTCACTAAGCATCCAGGCTGCCTGCCCTCAGTCAGGCTCCTTCCCCTGAGGCCAGGCTGCTCCCCCATCAACCTGGAGTAAGTGGGTGTTGACTCACTCAGGCAATGTCCCCTGTGTTAGTTTGAATGGCAGGCCTCAACCCGAGTCCACCTCAGGGCACAATGACCTGTGGGAGTAAGCACCAGGGAAAGAATCGAGGCCAGTCCTGATCAGGGCAACCCTGGCTGAGTGACCTTGGGTAAGTCTCTTCACCTTCCTAAGGCTATTTCCTCCTCTGTAAATTAGGAAGAATGACACCCAACCCACAGAGCTCTCTGCCTGCATTAGACGAAAGAGGAAGCACCCAAATGTCAACATGCATTGGATCCTTCTCTCCTCCCCTCAGACAGCCCCAACTGATCCCTCTGAGCCTCAATTTCTTCACCTGTAAAGAGGAGCTCACAGGCTGTGGGAGGAGTGGTTCAGCATAGTGCACGACCTTCTTTTTCTATACCCATCCCCTCCCCTGGCAGTCCCCACCCCCTGGAGCTGAGGACACAAAGCAGATTCTGGGTCTTCCCTGAGAGAGGAGCTGGCCACCTGCCCACAAGTGACTGAATTTCTGTGGCCCCGGTAGCCACAACTGGGGTGTGTGTATGTGTGTGTATATATATGTGTATGTATGTCTGTGTATATATATGTATATCTATAATCTTTAATTTGCAATCATTTTTATTTTCTTTATGATTATGCATGCTCATTGCTACAGATTAAGAAAAAGGAGGAAAGCATAAATGTGTTCATGTAATTTCACACTGAGTTCACACATTTTTGTGAACTTCACACAATGTACCACTGTTTTTCTTAACTTTCATTTATGAAATCTGGATATAAAGGCAGACCTCAGAGATATTGTCAGCTCAGTTCCAGATCACCACAATAAAGTAACTATTGCAATAAAATGAGTCAAATTATTTACACTGCTCCATAGCCTGTTAAGTGAGCAATAGTTATGTCTAGAAAAACAATAACTTAAAAGTACTTTATTGATAAAATAAATTCTAAACATTATCTGAATCTTCACTGTGTCATAATCTTTTTTGCTGGTGGAGGATCTTGCCTTCAATTTGTAAAAAAAAAAATGCAATATTGGCAAGGTGCAACAAATTGAGGTATGTTTGTAAATTACTTTGAAGGAAATTATAGATATCATATTTTTTCATCCTAAAAATTTCCTGATGTATCTCTAAAAGATAAGTAATCTTTTAACAAACATACCTACAATGCCATTATTACAACCTAAAAGAGGACCAGAATCCCTTAACATCATCAAATGTTCAGTCAGGGTTCCGCTGCCCCTAATTGCATCATTTTGTCACATTTGCTTTCTTTGGCCCAGATAAGATGCATACATTGCTTTTGGTTGATATGTCTGTTAAGTGTCTTTAAATATGTAAGTTCCCTTCTCCTTCTTTTTTCTTAAAATTTATTTGTTAAGGAAACTGGTCATTTGTCCTATTGTTTTCCACATTTAGGTTTTGGCTGTTTGTACCCCTCAAGTATTTAAATGTTCTTTTTGCCCCTGTATTGTCTATAAACTAGTAGCTAGATCTAGAAGCTTGTTCTAATCCCAGTTATAATTTTTTTTTGCAAGAATACTTTTAGATGGTCTCTATTGTCTTGATTTGCATTTATTTAATCACTACCAAGAGTGAACTTTTTCTTCAAATGCATATTGGTTGTTCCTACAACTTCTTGTAAATTGTTTTTGACTTTTCAATTGTTATTGAGACTTTTCATATTGATCTGTAAAAACCCTTTATGTATTGAGTGAGGCAAACTGTTTTGTGTCACTTGTAGAGAATTTTTTCTTAGGTTCAGACTATGGCAGTGTTTCTTTCCTGTTTTGCCATCAGAGGGACCTGGAATCCTAGAGCTTGCTCCTTTTAACCAGTGTAACCCCCTGCACCCATGCCTCCGGGCCCATTGGGGGAGCTCTCACTGTCCACCACTGACCACTCCTGGTTCCTGACTTCCCTCAGGATCCTGCTTTTATAGGAGAAAGAGGAAGATCCTGAAGGGCTGTGGTGAGGATCACAGCTTTTCTTCTTACAAAAATATATGTTGTGGGGAGCAAAGCACTCAAAGACAGTTGGGTCAAAGGCACACATTTGGGCTCTTGTGGGGCCTCAAGACAGCTGCAAAAGTGTCAAGTGTACAGGTCCCATTTGCCCCACACCTGTCCAACCCCTCATTTTTTAGAAGAGGCAGCTGAGGCTTCAAGTGGGAGGAACTTACACAAGGTCACACCACTGCCAGGGCATAGTATAGACAGTGTCGGAAAGGTCAGATTCAAATCCTGTCACCTACTAGCTGTGTTTTCTGGGGCATTAATGTCTTTGATTGTTGGTTTTCTGATTTGTAAAAATAAAAGATATGAGTAATGAGCTTACAGATAGAATAAATAAGTAATGTATTTAAACAGTCAACAAAAAGCTTGGCACATAGTAGGTGATCACATACCAAGAGTGGCTTTGAAAGTAGAATATGGTTATGCCCGTTCTAAAGGTGAAGAAACTAAGGCCCCAACAAGTGGGATTGACTTAAGAGAGCCCAGAGAGCTGGATCAGCACTGAGCCCTTTTTGTGCTTGTTGGAGAAGCTCCTCCCAGCACATCCCTTGGACCTCTGCATGGGTTTAGTTCTAGAGCAGGTGTCCCCAACCCCACCCCCATCTTGAGGAGAGCTGACAGGAGTGATCTAGCCAAGAGCACTGACCCCATGTGGAGGAGGGAGCCATGGGGCACTTTCACTGACCTACTCAGTCTTCAGCTCACCTGGTAAATGCCCTGCATGGCATTTGTACCTCCCTTGGCAGTTCCAAAGCATCTTCAAATACAGGATCTCCTGTGATCAACACAGCAATCCTGCAAAGTAGGCAGAGCAGAGCAAATCCCTTACAGACAAGGAAGCTAGTGTGAGGCAAAGAGCACAGTCAGTAAGCAGTGATGATGTCACTGTGTCCCCAACTCCCAGCCTTGCATTCTCCTCACAGCGTGTGGAGAGAGGTTATTTATCCCAGATGGATGGCTTCTTAGACCTTCTCCACATTATGGGGGTTTGGGAATGTTCTAGTACATCATAACCCAGTGAATTAAAAAACCCAGTATTCCAAGATAGAAGGAACCTTGGTTTCTGTATGGCCTGAGGGAGCCAAGCTGCCCGACAGCCTTGACCACCAGCCAGTCTGCCTCTGAACAGATACATGAGAAAGAAATAAACACGTGTGTAATTTAGGGGGCTCTTTGTTACAGCAGCCTAACTTGTGTCCTAAGCAAAATATTAACTTAACCAGATACTGAAGGTATTGGAATGACATTGCTGTGCTCTCTGTGTGATCAGCAAGGCTTAAATCCATGTCTGGAAAAGGACTAGAGACCAAGGGAGCAGGACGTGTCTCTCCCAAAACAAAACTAAACTAAACTAAACTAAACTAAACTAAAATGTTCCTTGGAGTCTGAGCTCTTTGGGGATCTGAGGATCCCTCTGCTGTTTCAGCCAGAGCAGTTCCACAGATTGGAGTTCTTTACATAATTGCTTGAAAATAATGTTCTTCTGCTTTAAAAAAATAATCAAAAACCACTGATGGTTTTGAATGAATCACAAAGTTTAATACAAACATCAAATGTGGTAAAATTTATTATTCTATTATATTGAATGTGGTCAAATATAATGAACCCCCCAGTGACAACAGTTGCTGGTCATGCAGTGCATCTTTTATGGAGGCACAGCAGCACCTTTCAGCATCACCACTGAGAAAGTGCCTGTCATCGCCTGGCATGGCAGAAATGAGTTGTGGGTGCTTTCGTAGTGTTTGAGTC